GCAAGGTTTTATTTTTTTGGTTTTTGGTCAGCTAAGTGGAGCCCCTGGGTGTTGCAAACAGTTAAGCGCTGGATGACTAACCTAAAGGTTACTGGTTCAGACCCACTCGAGGTGCCTGGAAAGAAAGGCCTGGCAATCTGCTTCTGAAAGGTCACAGCCATGAAAACTTCTATGGAGCAGTTCTACTCTGCAATGTACGTGGTCTCCATGGTTTTGCTTTTTTGCTTTTGTCAGCTAAAGTAATGTTATTGTGCTCATTTTTATATGGTAAAACTGAGGCATAGAGAGATTAAAAAACTTCCCCAAGGTCATAGCTGGCAGGTAATGGAGCCAGGATCTGCACCCAGGCAGCCTGTCTATTGCGTCTCTTCTGCTCCCCCACTGTTGTGCCTCTTGGAGATTAGAGAGGTTATAGAAAGGAACTTATACAATGTCTGGTACATGGTAGGAGCTCTGTCAGTGTTTTAATAGCTGCTTTTATAGGGTCACTATGAGTCAGAATCAACTGGACGGCAACAGGTTTGGTTTTTGGTTTTGGTTTATTACAGTGGGTATCTTATTCTAGATACTGGGAGAACATAAATGTAAGGAAAACAGTTCCTTCTTACAGGAGCCAAATATCTAGTTGGAAAGACACATAGCACATTTTAAAAATAAGCAGACAATTGTCAAAATAAAGAAGATTGAAATGAAGTTCATATGTCAGTGCTAATAAACCATAATTTTTAGATCTAGCAAAGGCCATAAAGGTTAAAGTGACTTGAAAATGGTAACCAGGAGAATGGGTATGTCATTGATTAGTGACTGCCAAACAGTTGTTTGATATATTTGTTGGATAAATGATTGAGTTGAAGGAAAGAAGATGAATATTGAAGAAAAAGCTGAAGGTGCAGGGGAGATAAGAGGGTATTCTGAGAACAGTGACTAGAACTCTGAGCTGTGGGAGGAATCCCTGGATTGCAGATGACAAAGTGATGTGAAGCCATGGAGAAGAAGAGGATGATCACAATAAATATTAAGTTTATAATAAATGTTTTCAATATCACCTCTGTTTCTCTTTTTATTTCTCATTTCCAATATTGCATAAGCTAAAACCATAGCAACTTTATAGCACAGAGTGGAACTGCCCCATAGGGTTTCCAAGGAGCAGCTGGTGGATTTGAATTGTTGCCTTTTTGGTTAGCAGCCGTAGCTCTTAACCGCTGTGCCACCAGGGCTCCAGTATTGCATAAAAGAGATTATAAATAAGAGTTGAAATCCTGTAGTGGAAAGAATGATGAACTGGTTGTCAGGAGACCTCAGTTCTAGTTTTAACTCTAGTTTATTCAGCTGTATAACTGAACAAAGTACAGTCTTAGTAGATGTTGAGTTTCCTTATTTTTTCCAGAAAGATTTATGAACACCTGCATACAGTGTGACAAATTCTGTGCAAGACATTATGGGTGATACAAAGCTGTATTAAACATGTCTCTTGAACTAAAAGAGCTTGTAATTTATTAAAGCTATATTTACAGGTAATTTGGAAGTTAAATTTTAAATACATCAGCTCATGGTTTTTACTTTATTGCAATACTCATAAGAAACTTAAAAAGTTTTCTTATATGTTATTATAAATTGTCAGGTAAATTTTACACATCCCATAACATGATATAGTCAGCTACAATTGTGTTGAAATAATTGTAACTTATTGTGAAGAGGCTTATGAAAATAACTTGAAAAGAAATCTAAAGTAAATGTATTTTATTAGCAGATTGCTTAGCTTGCTCTCATTTTATTCATGATAATAGTTTCACTTTTCTTTTTCGTACTTTATGGGAAATTGAAAATTGTGAGAGAGTCTAGACATCCTGTTTCAGGTGTTCAGTCATGAAGAGATCATTAAAAAACATCAAATATAGCATAGTTATTCGTACTGATGATCCGTGTAGCTCAATCTATTTACCTTTGGTAGTAGCATCAAGAAACATTTGGTACATGGTGAAGCATGGAGTTGTTGCCAGTTACTGTTGAGTCGCTTCCGACTCATGGCGACCCCATGTGTGTCAGAGTACAACTGTGCTCCATAGGTTTTTCAAGGACTGATGTTACAGAAGTAGATTGCCAGGCCTTTCTTCTGAGGCACCTCTGGACTCGAACCACCAGAACCGCCAACCTTTCAGTTAGCAGCTGAGTGCGTTAACTGTTGCACCGCCCAGGGACTCTGAAGTGCACAATAGCTGGGATACAACTGCTTGTGTTTGAATTCAAGCACCATAGCTAACTTGCTGTGTAATCTCGTGTAAGTTTCTTCGTTCTCAGCCTCAGTTTCTACATTTGTGCAATAGGGATAATAATAGATTTCAGAGCATTTCCATAGTCATTATTTAACTTGATTCTTAGCCCTGCCACTTTATTGATAAGAAAACTGAAAGATGAAAGATAGTGAGAGGCTTGTTTAAGATCATTCATCTAATTTCTGTTAGGTACCAGACTTAAACCCCTGGTTGTTTTGTTTGTGTACTGGTCGATTGTTCTTCCATATTGCCTTTCCTTTACTGATTAATTTTCCGTCTTTTCCATCTAAGCATTATATTTTCCCCGTTCTCAGGGAAGATTATTATATAACTAAAACAGTTTAACTCATATAAAAAATCATTATAACATCAAGTCTTTGTATCAAGATCCTTACGGTCCTTTTTGTATGAAATCTGGGAGCTGGCAGATCTAGATATTTACCTTATAAGTGATCTGTCCTTATTAATTTACTTTATAAATGAAAAGTCCAGTGTACCTCCCTTCAGATTAGCAGAGCATTTTAAAAAGTATGTTTGAAGTATTATATCTTCCTTTTTTTCAGGATACTGATTCTTTCTCATTTGTATCATTTGTTGTAGAACCTCTAAAATGCAGACCTCCGGCTCTCGATCTGTGCACTTGAGTGAATGGCAGAAGAATTACTTTGCAATTACGTCTGGCAGATGTTCATCAGGACAGAAGGCAGATGCATATCGTGCACAGATACTGCGCGTTCAGTATGCATGGGCAAACTCTGAGATCTCCCAGGTCTGTGCTACCAAACTGTTCAAAAAATATGCAGAGAAGTATTCTACAATTATTGATTGTGACAGTGTTGAAACTGGCTTGAATAACTATGCAGAAGACATTTTAACTTTGGTAACATCTCAGCAAACTGACAGTGACAAGTGGCAGTCTGGATTGACAATAAGTAATGTTTTCAAAATGAGTAGTGTGCAGGAGATGATGCAAGCTGGCAAAAAATTCAAAGACTCTCTGTTGGCACCTGCTGATGCATCAGTAGTAATCCATAAGGAGGCCAGTGTTGTTGATTTTCCCAAATTTAGTGTATATGGTTCTGGAGAGAGTAAACTTTCAACTACCTCAAGTCATGGTACAGATAGGACCCAGGACACCCCAGAGAACATACCTTCTTCAAAGTGTCCTCAAAATGCCCAGACACCTTTGGTGACTAACACTACTCAAATTTGTCCTACATCCTTAACGTCCTTAGGTGAATCAGCCACTGCAAAATTCCATGCCACACCATTATTCGGAAATGTCAAAAAGGAAAACCATGGCTCTCCAAAAACCAACATAGGACTAAATGTGTTCTCATCTAATCAGTCTTGTTTTCCTTCTGGCTGTGAAAATCCACGGGAAAGGAAGACTTTTTATGGTGTTGGTGCCAGTTGCATTGATGCACTTTCCAATCCAATATCAAATAAGGCTTTTAGTAAAATGGAAGATAATTGCCAAAGGGAGGAGAGCAGCCTGCCTACTTTTAAAACTGCCAAAGAACAATTGTGGGCAGTTCAGCAAAAAAAGTACCACCAACCCCAGCGGGCATCAGGGTCTTCACATGGTGGTGTAAAAAAGTCTCTGGGAGCTGGTAGAGCTAGAGGAATATTTGGAAAATTTGTTCCTCCTATACCTAAGCAAGATGGGGGAGATCAGAATGGGGGAATGCAGTATAAACCTTGTGGGGCAGGGCCTACAGAGCCAGCACATCCGGTTGATGAGCGTTTGAAGAACTTGGAGCCAAAGATGATTGAACTTATTATGAATGAGATTATGGATCATGGACCTCCAGTAAATTGGGAAGATATAGCAGGAGTAGAATTTGCCAAAACCACAATAAAGGAGATAGTTGTGTGGCCCATGCTGAGGCCAGACATCTTTACTGGCTTACGGGGACCCCCTAAAGGAATTCTGCTCTTTGGTCCTCCTGGGACTGGTAAAACTCTAATTGGCAAGTGCATTGCGAGTCAGTCTGGGGCAACGTTCTTCAGCATTTCTGCTTCATCTTTGACTTCTAAATGGGTCGGCGAGGGGGAGAAAATGGTCCGTGCATTGTTCGCTGTTGCAAGGTGTCAGCAACCAGCTGTGATATTTATTGACGAAATTGATTCTCTGTTATCTCAACGAGGAGATGGTGAGCATGAATCTTCTCGAAGGATAAAAACCGAATTTTTAGTTCAGTTAGATGGAGCAACCACATCCTCTGAAGATCGGATTCTAGTGGTGGGAGCAACCAATCGGCCACAAGAAATTGATGAGGCTGCCCGGAGAAGATTGGTGAAGAGGCTTTATATTCCCCTTCCAGAGGCTTCAGCCAGAAGGCAGATAGTAGTCAATCTGATGTCCAAGGAACAATGCTGCCTCAGGGAGGAGGAGATTGAACTGGTTGTACAGCAATCTGATGGTTTCTCTGGGGCAGACATGACACAGCTTTGCAGAGAAGCTTCTCTGGGTCCTATTCGCAGTTTACAAACTGCTGACATCGCCACAATAACACCAGATCAAGTTCGACCAATAGCTTATATTGATTTTGAAAATGCTTTTAGAACTGTGCGACCCAGTGTGTCTCCAAAAGATTTAGAGCTTTATGAAGACTGGAACAAAACTTTTGGTTGTGGGAAGTAAATGGTACACTTGCAGTTAAAAGGTGGCATCTTTCTAGTACAATCTTTTCCATTTTTCAGCATAGGATACTGAGAATTTATTGTGTCTTTTAGTGTATAGTCTGAGTTCTGTATCTCACATACAATAGGATAACAATAACTTACATTTTACAATTGATTGATATAGCCTCTATTAATAGAAGCTTTATTTGCCTTCCAGCTATAAACTGATGTGTAAACCTGTTGATACAACATGGGAATGAACTTTGTCTTTTGTTTCTGAGAGATATTTGTTTGAAGATGTCTAATAGGACTAATGAGCTCAAATTGAAATTTTTTTTTTAAATATGAAGTTTGCATTTGTATATGAGGATGTGATTTATATTCATCTTTTACTTAAGAAAGAGGTCCTTTTTGAAAGCTGTTTAACTCTTAATGTTAGCTAGTATGCTGGTTTAAATTCAAAACAGTATTTATGTTCAAGTAGACTTAAGATGTCACCAAAAAGTATAGTGTGCCGGTTTTTACTTTTGCTGATTTGTAATCTCTTTTACAGTTTTCTTCTCTTAAGGTCAAATCTAGTACCAGAGATGTATCCACAGAATTGAAAGATGAAGAATGTGTTATATTTTTCAGGAGGTATATATTTAAAATTAATACTTTATTTGTCACTACTTCACAGTCTATATAGTATTGCTCTCTTTCAAAAATGTTTTCAGATTTTTATAATCATTTTGTTTTACAAATAATACATGTTCATTTGAGAAACATTAGAAAATAGAGATAAATGAAAAGAAAATAGAAATCACTTTAAAGGGGAAAAACACTATTAACATTATAGTATATAGAGTCTTCTAGATGCTTTGTTATACACAAGAGAGGAATTGTACTATGTATTTTCTTGTATAGCCTGCTTTTTTTAAAAAGTGTATCATCATTTCCTCTGTTAACTTCTA